CTATTATTTTGTTCTAGAAATGTTATATTTATGTTATTTTTATTGGCACACCCTCAGAGCTGTATCTCTAAATTCAGGCGATATAACCGAACTTCGATTTTCGTTCAAGGACGACTCAGCCAAAAATATATTTTTTTAATATTTAAATAACAATTTAACAGATTTCAACGACATTTTCACAATTTGTTGATATTTTAATAAGTATACGTTTTGGACCTATTATAATTTTGAAGGCGAATTGTTAAGTATTTTGCATAAAAAAATAGCTACCACAAAATTGTTTGCACCTTTTTTTTATAAAGAAACTTAAACTACTTAAACTAAGTAAGTACAGGATTTTTAATGCAATAATCGATGCACATCAACGATCATTTAAGCAGTCACGACCATGCAATAGTGTCGAATCGTCAGAATAGTTGAGGATTGTAGGAAGTTTCGAAAATGTAAGGTTATATATCTCGTTTTCGAACATATTATTTTTATAAAAAGTTTTTTCATGTTTTACCCCAAGTAATATTAATGAGTCAACCATCATATAAATACTTAAACCTTATATTTAAATAACTTTTTAATGGTTGACATTTTGAAAAACCACCAAGGTTAAATTAAAAGAAAAATGCTTATACTTACCATATATTTGCAAATAATCCATTTTAGTCGAACCCATTACATTTGTCAACGCAGTTTTCTCTAAGTAGATGAAATGCTTTGCAAGAAAAGTCTCATCTTAAATTTTTAATATAAAAGATGAAGTCCTTACTTTCGATTACAAAAAATTACAGAAATTCATTGTTAAACACATGAACTATAACCTATAACATAGTGAGAAAATGTGGATTTGTTATTTCAAGAATATTTCTAGTAAAAAATAGTTATTAGCTTTAATAAGCACTTCTTGACAACAATATTTCAATGCAACACGGTTGAATATAAATATGTGCTAAATTCAGAAAATATTTTGACTTTTTATAGAATTCTGTAGAACTCATCCTGTTTACCTACATCAAATTAATTTCTAAATATTATGCACCATCCTATTAACATTCCTTAAAACTAATTTTCCAGAAACTTGTTAGTTTAAGAGAGTCATTACGAACAGAACAGTAAAAGTGAAAGACATGAACGCTAACTGATGAGTAGATGAGTAATCAATTTCTGCAAAGCCTTCAAAAATTGTATTATGTTTTACTGACTTTCCGTATTTAATAACTCATACATAACAGATGGTTTTCATACCTAACGAACCAATGTATTATGGTTTTATAAATATATGCGAGTAATTGGATAATTGATATTGTTAATGCGTTTATCGTTATATAAGGTAAGTCTATTCTGGGAAATTGAATATTTTTTGTTAATAAAAATATAAAAAAAGCAGTAATGTATATAGGGGTCTTCTACAATAGGAAATAATGTAACTACCAAATTTTAAATCAATTGTATACTTTCTCTACCCCCAACGTATCCCAAGCGGAGGTTCGCGAACATCCAAGTGTAAATCGACCGAAACCGAAATTTTCTCAAAAGAACGGGAATGATGTCTATCAATATATAAATGGATTAGAAGGAAGAATAGAGTCAAACCCAATTTTACTGTTTTATACTGTTACTAATAAATAGAATAGTCAATTTATTTCGTTTTTTAAAAAAGTTCACAACTGTCCATAGAATTGGTACTTTTTGCCTTACATCAAATGATGTAGTTCTAAGTTTTCTATATGTTGGTAGTAATGAGATGGTAATGACAAATCCAAATTTTCCACCTCGAAAGCCCTTCGGATCATTGTTAAATACTAAAAAATTCGGTAAATTTTAGGACTTTTTTCAGTTTTTGTCCATTTTTACCACCAATGTTACGGCAAAAGTTACTATGCACACTTTTTAAGTAGACTAAATTTGCAATGAAATGAGAATAATTTAATTTTGGTAGGCCAAATAGTTTATAAGATACGGCTATTTAAAAGTTTGCAAAATTTCAAAAAAAAAGGCCGTATTACTTTTTTTTAGTTTTCAACAATTTTTACCCCTAAGGAGTGGGTTTAGTGGAAAAGTTACTTTTTTTAGTTATTAAGTTCCTGAGATACAGCTGTTCAAAGTTGTTGAGGTAAGTAAATAATTATGTACTAAATGAGCATTATAATTTATTAAAATAATCATTTTGCTAATTAAAACATTGTATTTTATGTACAACATAGTTAGGGAAATAGTTATTTTTTTATATTTTTGATGGACCAGGCTCGTCCTCTAAATCCACAGCATACCTTTTGGGGTAGCTTGCTGGGGTAGAATTTCTTCATTGAACTAATCAGGAAGGTCGAAATCATCATTTAATGGTGTGTCATCAATGAATGGTTCATCAATGTCGTCAAACATCAGGCTTGGTATGTTCTAGCAAGATTGGCCAGTGCAGTAACTGCAAACACCCGAACATATCAGTCCTGCTTTTCTGTAACCACAACAGCTGATACATCCTTTTTTGCAGTTACAGAAAATTATATTTAGCAGAGCTTGAGAAGCTGATGGTGCCATCATCTATTGAGGAACGAGGCCTTGTGTACTCCGCATCCAGCCCCAATCGAGAGGATTCTTCTCATTTTCCAGACAATTCTGTACCTGAAACAAAATCAACAACAAAATAAGGAACTATGTATAAAGAATGTGGTCTGAAGCAGAAAGGAATACAAGCAAAAAACTTATTTATTATCGATAAAAATTTATTTTTTCCTTGGCCAAGAGGTGCTGATGTTAAGTCACAACTACTTAACGCGTGAAGGAACAGTGCTATTCTGGGTTGTGATAATTGCCCAAAGGATTTTGCCGAGTAGGTGACATCTTATTTGTTTCTCTACCACATTTTACAAATATAATATTGTTATTTGGTTTGCTCGTTGGAAGGATGTGGTCTCCTCCATCTCGTGACAAACCACAAAATAAGACCAATAAATCTATATCCTCCCCAACGATCTTCACTACTTCGTAAGAAGAGGATATGACAATGGCTGTGGTTACTATTAACCTATCAGCATCTTCCTCTGCCTGTAATATTAGAATGTTGTTCCTATCATTCAATAAGAACTTGTCCTGAGCAACTGCAGTAATGGTTTTTTCATCGAATATAACATCAGGAGATGACATAATTAGTCTCATTTTGTTGGGAATTTAGTGGACTTTAATAACTTTTCCCACTACTTAGGGGTAGAAATTGTCGAAAACTAATAAAAAACTGTAATATTTCCTTTGTTTTTTGAAATTTTGCAAACATTTAAATAGCCGTATCTTAAAAACTATTTGACCTACCAAAATCAAATTATTCTCATTTAATTGCAAATTTAGTCTACTTAAAAAGTGTCCATAGCAACTTTTGCCATAACGTAGGTCCTTGGTGGTAAAAATTGACAAAAACGGAAAAAACTCCTAAATTTTAATGAATTTTCAAGTATTTAACTGTGATCCGAACGACTTTCGAGGTGGAAAACTTGGATTTGTCATTACCCATTACATCACTACCAACTCATAAAAAAAATCAGAACTGCCTCATTTGATGTAAGGCAACACTTCTTTTTCGGTACGATTTTTATCTACTAAACGGAAAAGTTTGGTTTTAGTAACTGCTGTAAATTCTAAACACTGTTGAAGATATGTCACTGGTGATACTGCTTTTATTGTAGCTGTTTAGTACCAAAAACTATTAGTACGAAAACTTGAAACGCTATGGTCAAAGAACTACCAAAGTCCTATACTGAAAATGTATTGCTGCACTAGAAACTCTTTAATGTTTGGAGAAAATGGAAGATTTTGTATTTTAATTTTAATGTTTTCCTCAAATCTGTTATAGTGTAAGAGTAAATGTCTGGATGTCAATATCGATACATAAAAATTACGATACTGTTGTAGCTTAAAAACTGGCTTTGGGGTAACACAATGCAAATTCTGCAAAAATCGTAAATTAAAATGTATAATTCTGATAAATTTTGACGAATATGATCTGTTTGAGCTTGCACAGTCCAAACAACCGCATGAGCTAGTGATTTAGTTTGTTTTATTGGTATCATTGGCTTTGACAACTATGAGAATTCACCTTCGGTGCCAGTGTTGCTAGTCTAGTATAATTGTACTAGATCTAGTACATTCTCAAAGAATCTGGTACTTTAGTATACTCTATAAGCTAAATCCATTTGACGTGTAAAATTGTTGACAATTTTTTTGTCAATATGATTCAGACCGTCATTGCAAATAGAATTCGAAAAAACTGGTACATTTTTACGGAATCTGGTATATTTTTTAGACATATCTGGTACATAAAAACAAATTCTGGCAATCACTGTTTTGTACTATTTCCCAGGAAAAACCCAAAAGTGAATGGAAGTGTGGATAAACCCAACTAGACCTATTAATTATTGATAATTAGATTTTTTTAGAGAATTTGAGATTATTTAAAAAATAAGTTGATCACCCTGTATTTTATTATATAAATATAATTATTCAATTAAATTGTATCTTATTTAGCTGAATTTTTCATCAAGAATCTTATGCAATACCCTACAGATATTTTTTTTATAAGTCTTAAGCCTTTAATCTTCCTATGACAATAGAATACTTATTGTTGCTAACAAATACATTTAATTTATTTACATAGCCTACTATTGCAATGATTAATGAATAGTAGTTACAACAATGTAGTGTAATTTTTGCATAAGAGTAGAAACAACCAAGAAAAAAATTTATAAGGAAAATAACTATTTTATTGGAGCATCTCGTATAATAATATTGTTATATTTTTTATTTTTTCTTCAAAGAAAAAGTGAACAAAAAAAACACATTAAAAAATGCTATTTATTTAAATATTAATATTAGCTGTTAAACATTTAGAAATTGAAATTCAACGAAAAATCGGATTCATCTTTAATCGTTTTAAAGTTTTTAGGAAAATAAAAAAAACATTAATTTCAAAGTAATCCTGAGTGGGATTTTAAAATCAGTTTTTACAATAGAAATAAATTATGAACGGACGAACGGACGAACGGACGAACGGACGAACGGACGAACGGACGAACGGACGAACGGACGAACGGACGAACGGACGAACGGACGAACGGACGAACGGACGAACGGACGAACGGACGAACGGACGAACGGACGAACGGACGAACGGACGAACGGACGAACGGACGAACGGACGAACGGACGAACGGACGAACGGACGAACGGACGAACGGACGAACGGACGAACGGACGAACGGACGAACGGACGAACGGACGAACGGACGAACGGACGAACGGACGAACGGACGAACGGACGAACGGACGAACGGACGAACGGACGAACGGACGAACGGACGAACGGACGAACGGACGAACGGACGAACGGACGAACGGACGAACGGACGAACGGACGAACGGACGAACTGACGAACGGACATTTTTAAAAGTTTAAATTTGATGAAGGATTTTTTTACATAACTTTTAAATTTGTTAAACCAATTATACTATTCACAGACTAACTGTTAGTGTAAAGAGTATAACAATAAAGATTTTTAACTGTTTAATGAACGACTGCAAATTAAAATTTTTAATTTTGTTATCAATTAAAATCTTCTCTTTCAGTATATAGATTACTTTAATCGATTTTAAAATAATATTCTCTGCTATTCAACCAATTTAATGTCATATGATATCAGAGGCGGCTTGTCTGTAGGGGATAAAGCGCTACAGCCCCCAAATATAAGGGGAAACCAATTATTAACATAAACAAAATGAAAATGTAATTTGTTATCAATCCATGCCATTTTTATTAAAAAATTAATTATATCCAAGAATTCATATTTGATTAAATATTATTTCCCTAGACGATGCTGATTGGTGGTTTATTGTTAGATTCGAATATAAAAACCAGATAGCCGAATTGGTAAAACAGTGTGCGTAGAACACGAATAGGTAGGTTCAAATCCCTTCCGAGTCGTAGTTTTTAAAATAAAAAAAAAATTCATTTTGGGGATTCGAAAATAGTTTTTATTATTAGGGGATTTCCAAAGAATTTATCTAATATGTTTATTATTTTTAGTCAATTTTACTATCTTATACAACGACGGTAATAATTTCCTTGAAATTACTTGGACTTTTCTATTTATAAAAATAGAAACGGTTGTATTTTCCTAATTTAAATATTTACATGTTTTGAGTTTACCAAAACGATTATCACATTTGCAGTGCACAACAACAAAAATATGTATATATGGTTTTTTCGTCATACATGTACCATAGAAGTATTATTAATAAATATTCTTTTGAAATAAAAGTCCTTTTCTATTTGTAATTGTAAAGTTATCGAATAACATTTTATTCTTAACATCAAATCAGTACAAGTACAAAACAGTGTTGCTTTTATAACATTTATTTAACTGTCAACTGTCATTGAATATAGACTATAACTAGTGATGCCGCGAGACAAGACGAGACGAGAGAGTGGCCTCTCTCGTCTTGTAGGGCAAGAGAAAACTGTTCTCTCGTCTCGACGAGAAGGCGCTTCTCTCGCTCAAGAGAGCCTTTCTCTCGTCTTGTCTCGTTTTGTCTCGTTTCTCTCGTGATAAAACAATATAAAATTTAAATTTGAAAAAGACGAAACATAAAAAAACGGTAAAATTTGTAAGACAAAAACAAAGAATTTTTCAAGTAATTTGCGCATTAGTACCCAAATTTGGCAATAAGAAACACTTATGTCTCTTTGTCTGCCCGTCTATCACAGTCGTTTTACAATTGAAATTTGAAGTAATAAGTGGTCCAGATTAGGCGTTAAATAAAAACGAAAATACTTTGTCTTGTAAGTCAGTTGGGGAGGGAGGGAAGAGGTTAAATTGGAAGTTAGAATTTTTCTAATACAATCCTGCGATGTCAAATGAAAACATTTTGTAGTATGTTTTCAAAATGCAAGAAAATAGAGACATAAAACAAAAACGATATAAAATTAGATAAACATTATGATAGTTTTGTTATAATGAGATGCACTTTACTTGAAATGTAAAATAGAGGGCCTTACTATCTTTAAATTTTCTAATGAAAAGTAAAGTCATGTAATACCTTATTTGAAAGATATTATTATTATCCTAATAACATAAGTATCATTTGTTACCATTTAATATATATAGAATAGGTGTGTTATAGTTAACTTTTTGACTATCTCTAAATCTAATATTTTAAAATTTTAAGACGCGATAAGCAATTGAAAATTTCAAATAAGCAAAGAGAAAATTGATCGAAAGAGCCCGAGAGAGCTCGAGAGAGCTCGAGAGAAACTATAAATTCTCGTCGAAAGATGGCACTCTCTCGTCTCGTCTCGAATCTGTTTTCGAGAGAAAATGTCTCTCTTGTCTCGTTTGAGACGAGACTTGAGACGAGAACCTCTCGTCTCGCGGTATCACTAACTATAACTATATAACTAGACATAAACACACTAGAGCAGGGGTGCTCAAACTTTAACTGGTGGCGGTGGTGGTCTACCTCAATTTTGTTAGACTCCGATCGATCGACTTTTAAAGGTTGCAAGTATGTGTAGGGTGTATCGTGGCGCAGGCATAAGTATACAGGGTTGGCCAAACCTCTGTCGTAGTTCTATAACTCCTATTATGCAAATCTTAACGATTTATTCGAAGTATACCTGTCAATGGTGGTCAAAACCAATTATCCCAAAATTATTTTCTTGTGTACAGGGTGGCCCAATAGTAAATTAGGAAAATCACTTATTTTTTTTTAAATGGAATGACCCAACTTTTTTCCAATTTTAGGTACTCTATGGTCACTAGTGCATACCCACAAAATATTGTTCCTAACATCCTACCCCCTTTCGCAGAAAAAGAAGAAATACCAAAAAATATTACATTTTCAGACGCCTATTAAAATATGCAGTGCTCTCTCGAATTTGACGTTAGAATTTAAAAAACTACAAATGTATAAAGCCAATAGACCAAAGATTTTTTTAGACCAAGTTTTAATTTTTTATATTGTACAGGGTGGTCACAAATTAATTTCAATTTCCAAAAATTTCTAGGACATTTTTTTCAAATTTTTCAAATAGAACACCCTGTATTACTATTCATCGATGAAACGAGAATTTTATATCCTTCGACTTCCCCATGTACTTTCCTATACCTATCTGTCGTCGTTTAAAAGTAAATTCCAAAAAGACATTGATCTATCAAAAATCCAATTTCTGCCAGTGGTTTTATTGAAAGTGAACATTCAATCTTAATGAAGTGTCAGATTATTTATTAATGAAGTGTCAAGTTATTTTTACTGATCGCGATAATTCTTCTATTAATAATGAATTTTACGAAAAACGAATTAATTGACATGGTCTATGTTTTGGGAGAATCCGACAGAAATTGTTAATTGGCAAAAAGAATTTATCATCAACGATATCCCGATAGACGCATCCGTGATCAAAAAAGTTTTGAAAAGTTACATGAAAGATTTACCGAAACAGGAAATGTTGCTTATAAAAAACCAATAATTGACAAACGTGCTACTGATAATGATAACCATTTATCTGTAATTTTGACAGCGATAGAAGATGCTCATGTAAGTCAAAAAAGATTGCCGAAGTAGTAGGTATAAGTAGAACATCCGTTAGAAGGATTTTAAAACAGCATCAATATCATCCTTATAAAATACAATTGCATCAAGAGCTGAAAGACACCGATTTTGATAATAGAATAGAATGGTGTTTTGGGCACAAACTAAACTGCAACAAAATCCATTTTTTTTTATAGAGTGCTGTTTTCTGATGAATCTACATTCCACAAGAACGGATTCGTTAATAGACATAATTTCCACTATTATTCCACGGAAAATCCTAACATCATCAGAACACATAGCCAAGAAAGATGGAGTGTAAATGTTTGGGGAGGTATAATTGGGGATCATGTTATTGAGCCGTATTTTTTTGAAGGCAACTTAAATGGTCTGATGTATTTAGATTTTTTAGCAAATCATCTTCCTACTTTACTTGAAAACATTTCCCTTGCTGTAAGACTAACAATGTGGTACCAACATGATAGGGCAGCAGCGCATTTTTTACGCGAAGTGGCAGATGAATTAGATGAAAAGTTTCCAAATAGATGGATTGGTAGAAATGGTCCAAAAAAATGGCCAGCTCGATCACCTGACTTAACAAAACCCGATTATTTTTTGTGGGGTTATATTAAAAATCTAGTCTATCTTACGCCACCTACAACACCTGAAAATATGAAAGAAAGGATAGTGCAAGCTTTCCATTCCATTACACCTGATATGCTTAGAAACGTTTCTCGATCATTCGCCCAACGAATAAATGTATGCATTAGAGAAAATGGCAGACATTTTGAGCATCTTTTATAAAATGTAAATTTATGTTTTAGGATAAATTTCAAATAAATTTTATTATCGTAATTTTCTTCCTTTTGAATTTATTTTATAACGGCGACAGATAGGTATAGGAAAGTACATAGGGAAGTGGAAAGGTATGAAATTCTCCTTCAGTTGATGAATAGAAATACATACAAATATATTTGAAAAATTTTAAAAAATTTCCTTCGAAATTTTTGGAAAGTGAAATTAATTTGTACAAAATAAAAATTCAAACTCGGTCCAAAAAAATCTTTGGTCTATTGGCTTTATACAATTGTAGTTTTTTAAATTCTAACATCAAATTCGAGAGAGCACTGCATATTTTAATAGGCATCTGAAAATGTAATATTTTTTGGTAATTTTTTTTTCTGCGAAAGGGGTGGGATGTTAGAAACAATATTTTGTGGGTATGTACTAGTGACCATAGAGTACCTAAAAGTGTAAAAAAGTTGGGTCATTCCATTTAAAAAAAATTAAGTGATTTGCCTAATTTACTATTGGGCCACCCTGTACACAAGAAAATAATTTTGGGATATTTGGTATTGGCCACCATTGACAGGTATATATCAAATAAATCGTTAAGATTTGCATAGTAGGAGTTATAGAACTACGACAGAGGTTTGGCCAACCCTGTATAGGCACGCTGGAGAATTTTATGTAAAATTAGTAAGAACGACAAAATTTGCTTCTTCGCAATATGCAATTTCATGTAAAATTAGTAGGAACGACAAAATTTGCTTTTTCGCAATATGCATTTTTTTAGTCAAGGTAGGTCTGCTCTAGAAAGTCAATGAAAAAACTCAAAATTGCTATAGTTTATTGGTTCTTACAAAACAAACGATTCTATAGTTTCTAAACTTAACTAAAAAATTACTTTGGATGTTGAAGCATGTCCTCAGCATACTTTTCATAAGAATGCTAATGGCAAGCATGATGACATAGGTATGTTTGTCAGTTAGTCGATTGCGATATTTTGACTTCAAAATGCCGACTCGCACAAGTTGACCCAAACATTGCTGTCAATTGAAATGCGACTTGCCTTAGATTC